AGAACTTAGAAGACAGAACCTACACAGAACCTAGAGACAGAAGAACTTCGCTGGAGAGAACATGGCAAAAGATCCTGGACAGAACCTGGCTACAGAACCTGGCTACCGAACCTGGCTGGAGAACCGAGCGAGAGAACATGGCTACAGAACCTGGCTGGAGAACCTGGAGAATGTGGCTGGAGAACCTAGCAAGAGAACATGGACACAGAACTTGGCTGGAGATTGTGGCTAGAGATCCTGGCAAGGCTGCTGATCAACTGAATGCTGTCTCCATGTCATTCCTTCTTCGCCGACTCCATCCACACCTTTGGGGACCCCTGGACCTGCTGGGGCAGGACCCCAGCAGTAAGAAATTCTTATTTAATCTCCATAACAGGTCTATGAGTTAACTATTATTCCAAGTTTTAGAAGAGAAAAATGACTCTCAGAAGGTAAGTAACTTGCCCAAGGACCTGAACTTATATGGTCTGGTTCCAGAGTCATTTGACTCTGGAACCAGACCATATAACTCTGACCTACAGCTCAAATTATAAAGCTGAACTGTTTTGGGTTTTTTGTGGTCTGGTACACTCATAATTATTTGCAAGACTTATGTAGCTATATCACTCAAAATAATTTCATGAGTCTGCATCTTTAGCTATTAAAAAATAAGTTATTTTTACTATTTAACGCACTGGCCAATGATTCCCTTTGTATTCACATTTTGTCATTACTGGACAACAATCTGTCTTCAATGGAGTGTAGCCACTGGAGAGTTTAAGCAGAGGAAAAATCTAATGGAGACGCTTCAGCAGTTTTCCCTCACTGGAAAACATGAAAAACAAGAGGAGACTACTTCAGATACAAATCAGAGGTTAAGCAACATGCTTGGTTTAAATTAAACTGACATACCAAAGTAAATTAGTAAGTGTTATAACCCAAACTAAATAAAAAACATTACCAAACAAAAACGTGGAAAATACATTAAACTTTTACAGAGCCTCCTTAGGAAAGTTACCTTATTTCAGCTCCCCAAAATGCTGGGAGGTAGGCAAGGTTGATACACCCACTCTACACTTAAACTAAGGCTCTGAGAAAATTGTTACTAAATGGGAAAGCCGGGATTAGAAGTGGTTTTGTTTTGTATGTTGTTTTCCTAATTGTAAAGTTGGTACCCTATGACCCTATAAGATTTCTGAACTCAGTCTCTAGTATAATTAAAAAATATGGAGATGACACAGTTCCAATCACTTGGACTACAAATAAATACTAGAAGACAGTTTATATACAAACTATAGTTCTTTCCCATAATATTAAAACTATTTCCAAAAAAAGAAGAAAAAAAAAACCAAGCAGGGAAAATGCTATCAAGCACTACCTTTTATCTCTCAAAATATTTCTAGCTTTTCTCACCATTATCATTAACAGTCCAAAGCAGAGAAAACAGTTTAGAGCAGGGCTGCCAAAGATATTACCTGCTCTTCAAAAAAGTAAAAACCCATTCACAGATTACATGGACATTTCTATTTACCAAAATAATGGCCATTCTCCTCTTGAAAATGTCCAAATGAACAAGACTTTGGGTCTGCAGGGGATGATCACAACTCCTGACAACACAGCAGATACATGTTTACGTTATACTAGAGGTCTGGTGCATGAATTCATGCATGGGTGGGGTCCAGCTAGCCCACCCCGATCCAGGGCCATCGGACCAGGTGGGGTGGGGGGGGAGGGGTGTTGGCTTGCCAGCCCTGCCCCCTGGTTGAACTCCCAGTTGAACTCCTGGTTGAGGGGACAATTTGCATATTAGCCTTTTATTATATAGGATACCAAACACATTTTACAACCAACAAGTCACATCTCTGATTTGGAACTATCAAGCAGGCAATATATATTTATGGGTAACATTTAAAACCAAAGTCTACAAAGGTTTTTAAGAAGCAGGTTTTGCCAAAAGACATCCTCTTTCTCCTGCAGGATATGAGATTATTCAACACTACTAACACCACTTAATGATTGTGAAATTTGTAAAGAGAAAACTCAGAGCCATTGCACAATTCACAGCCTAGTCCTTCAGCCTCCACCTTATTACCAAATCAAAAACCCAGAGCAGTCATCTTCCATTGTGCAAGGGTCTATACCCACACCCTGAGCAGTGGGCATTGAGGGAGAGGTTCTAGAAAAAAGCAGGCCAATGATTCCTTTATTTGACCTGCCTGGGGCTAGCACTGCTTTATGATGTAAGAAACATAAGGTAAGTTAACCTAGCGAGGGTCTCAAGAACAGTAGAGATTATCTAAAAATGTTTCGCTTCCAAAAGCTCTATGTTATTGAACCTTGCTCAAAGTTTAAAAGAAAATCAGGTTTCCTTCCCGACTTCAGAAATTCAACTAAAGCGCTCAAGATTATATCAATCCTGCACATGTCGTTTTCCATTTCTTGTTAACAACCCCACAATCCTGAAACTGTTTTAAAACAGGACCCAATTTGCACAGTGTAATTGCTAATATTACTCCATTCCTTCCTTTAAAAAGCACATTAAATTACTATGCCGTATCACTGAACGTGGTATCATCATTAATTAGAAAAAATTAATCAGTATTCACAAGCAGTTAAAATTGTTAACTAGAATCAAGAATGTGGTAATACAGAAAAAAAGATATTTTGCAAATGTTATCCTAAGTATGATATCATTTATGCTTTTTAGAATAAACCAGACACAGAAGGAAATTCAATTCAATCAAGTATCCCAACTCTCTACCTAATTCCATCCAGGTTAAGAATCTATACACTAAACTATTAGAACAAGGGGTTTAAACGCAAGTTAAACAACAAAGTACAAGACAGGTAAGTACTTCTATGTATCAAGCACTGTGCTAGGCACTGAGGATACAAAAAGGATTCCTGGTCTCTAAACCTAAAGGTTCAGTTTTAAGAATTACGTTGCCACACGTTTGTCAGAACTCTACTCTGCAGAAGTTCTTCAGTCACTGGCTGGGCACATACAGAACACAGACATAACTACTAATCTCCCCTTAAGGGCTTACAACCTTAATCATGAACTGTCTAAACAACATTATTTCAGTTGATACTCTCTGAATTTATATTAAATGAATAATTATACGTAAACTGACTATTGCTCCCTAATAATTTTTTCCTAGAAGCATCATTAATGCCTCTCTCTTCAACCCAAAGCAAAACACACAAATGCAATTCATAAGGGAATTCGTAGTTCTTAGGTATAAACTGACCGTTAGAGTCCACATAAGAAAGCAACATCTGTCAATTTCCTGAAACATCTATATCAGCTCATATAAACCCCCAATAAGCATTCAGGTCATTCCCAGTGTAAAAAGCACATCTCGGCAAACCATTGAATCAAGTGCTTTCCTTTCCTCACACTGCAGCGCTGTCACATGACCCAGTGACAGATCAGGATGGGATTAGTCAGGCAGCAGAAAAACCCTCCATCTGCAATTCTTCTCCACCAAGGAGCCACCCACAAACAGGAACTCTGGCAGTTAACCAGTGCAAATATGGCACTGCCACCTGGGGGAACATCAGGTGCTTCCCCAAGTTTCTGAGTCTATTTCCAGGGCTCATCCCCAGTTCCTAAGAAAGCTGCGAAGAGGTCTGATGCCACACCACTGCATTGCTTCATAATCAAGAGCCATTCTTGAGCAGTTCACGTAAGCCTGGTGTATCAAGGCCTTTTCATACTCGACAACGCTTAAGCGTGCCTGTGCACACGTGTTATATAATATGAGCAAAGATGTGTGGTGTCCCCAAGGCAGCCTTACACTAAACCAGGTTAGCTTAGCTGGTCAGGAGAGGCACAGGTATGAAAAGGCCTTGCGAGAATGAAGAAACCGGGGATTTTAGTTCCTGCTCTGCCCATCATTAGGTGTCTAAAGCCTGGCGAGTCCGGTCCCTCCAGGAACCTTGGGCTTCTCGCTGTAAAATGAGAGCGTTCGGCGAGATAAGCTGCAGGGTCCTTTTCAGCTCTCGCGTTCCGCGAGACGGAGTGTCCAGCGGTCGCACAGCCCCTCCGCCAAGCATCTGCCTCTGGCAACGGACCGACCTCCATCCACCAAAGGCCTGACCACGTCAGCGAGGGCTCGGCATCCCCGCCCGCGGCAGGCGCTGCCCCGAGGTCCCCGCCACCGAGCGCACAGGGGAAGGGGCGTTCCCTCGACCCCCTAAATGTCCAAAGGGTAGGTCAAGCGAAGATTAAGCCTGAGCGACAAGAAGCGGCCTTCCCACGGAGACAGGAAGCAAGTGCCTAGAATGCCCCGGTCCCGGGGAGCCGGGGAGGGCGGAGCGGCCGCCAGGAGCCCACCAACCCCGGGAGGAAGTTCCCGCAGCAGCACTTTCCCGCACGGAAAGGTGAAGTACACTCGCGTCTTCTTCCACAGAGAGACGTGCGGGCGAGAGTAGGGGGGACGCGAGAAGGAAATATAAACCCTCCCCCACCCCCCACCCCCAGGCGCTGGCTCAGCAGGTGAGTAGGAGCAAGGGGCTGGGCTGAGAAGCGAAGGCAGGATCCATCTTGCTCTCTGATACTCACTGAGGCGAGGCTGGGACAGGTAGTTCCGACTCGCTGCCATCGCCTGC